AACAATGATCGTGACTGTTCCACATGGATTCACATGCTGTGGTCACTCAGCCCTTTCTTTGCATGTGTACAGCGTGACATAGCAGTGACCTGCTGGCTATGGGTAGCGTTCCTGCACGCTACGTGGGCCTGATTGCACCTCCTCTCTAGGTGCTCTGCAGTAGCGTGAGCCAGACAGGCTTTGCACTGCCAGCTACCCTCTGGTAAATGTTCTGCCACAGTGGCTTCCATATCAGTGGTTTTGTTGGTGCCAATATGAAGACAGTTTGGTTATGCAAGTTTGCATCAGACACAAATACCAGAGAGTTTGACAGCCCTCATGCTCTCCTTGTGCAAGTATCTTCTGGTGGATTTATTGCGAGCCTTCATAGTGAAGCTCTGAAATGATCCCTTCTGCTGATATTTAGGATTTCAATGGTAAACTCACAAATATTAGTGGTTAACTTCAGGGTTGTAAACAGTTCTGTACTTTAGTCCTATCAGCTCTCAAAAGCCACAGAGCTACTGAAGTTTAATTCTATATTATTTCCCAGGAGACTGCAGTCCTGGCCATTATACTGATGCTTCTCTACAGAGAACCTTTAAAAAGTTTAGACACTTACTGCTTCTGCAGATGCTTTGTAATCACAATCCTGCCAGGGTTTGTTCTCCTCAGCGGCACAAGTGGTCTCTTGTATTCGATACTTCACGTGGAGTTGTTTGTCAGGACCTACCTGGAAGAAAACAATATACAAGTCATCAGTTTGCACAGGTGATAAATCTGGACACCAGTGAAAAGATAAGAGCTTTAAGGGGTAAATACTATTCCTATCCTGGCAATGCCCAGCCTGCCTTCACATCACGGGTACTTCACATCAGGTAACAGGGTACTGATGCTTCCCTTCCAAATTGGGGAAAAGGGACAAGGGGGGGCTCCGGAGCCAGCCTTTGGCTGTACTTGCAATTTTTCTATAGGCATTAAAGGCTGAGCTGCTCTTAGGGGTGGCCTCAGGAATTCCCTAAGATGAAATACAGACAAACTATTCAGTAAAGTTTGGCCTGATCAGTGGAAGCATTTCTGATGTTGGTAAATAAGTAGGGGGCATTTTCTCCTCGCCATAAACAGAGCAGGGAATTGCCTACAGGGAACGTTAACACACTGCAATATTTGTGGTTCTTCCTTCAGAGGACATACGAAGCCAGAAGTTCCTAGTAATTTACTGCCACTAAAAATGCTCTGCTAGCGTACTATTTCAAACACAGGCAATTGCTGTGCTTTAATATTAATTCTCCTAGCAGTATCATTTAAGGATAATGAAGCGGTACCAAGAAAGAGAAGCTGAGTTGACATGGGTGGAGTATTTACACTGGTGTAGGTGAAGACAGAATTATATTTCGTGTTCTTTCAGTTCCTGTTGTGTATTGCTACACCTCTGTAGTATACCTAAGTAGAGGTATGCGATGTGATGGCTGCAGGCTGTAAAACAGGATGAAAGGGTCTCTAAAAATATAATGGACTTAATCCTCAGCAGGTGTAAACTGACATTTATGGAGCTGCATCAGATTATACTGTCTGGGATGTGGATTTAAAGAGCCAAATTGTGTTGTCTGTTACAGATTTCTAAACCTGGAATAAATCAGTTCAGTGAATAAATGAAACGTGTGAGAACAGACATTGTTTCTGCATGTTATTTGTTGTTGGTTTATTTCATTATTATTATGAACAGTTATGTCTTTAACTGGGGCAGGTTCAGTCTTCCACCAGTCAGCTTTTATGTTTTATTACCTTATCAATAATGAATGTACATGAATATGTAATAACCAGCTATTTAATTAATGCATTCAAGATTGTGAGACTAGCAATGAGTAAAATCTATACCCTTTTTAGAAAAAAGAATGTACAATATGAAGAAAGCTTTCTTGTAGATTCCTTTTCTCTGTTTTTTCTTAACATCACAGTCTGATCAGTGATTCAAAGTAATAATTCTTTTCCACCTCACATCTTTTAAGAAAAGGCAGTATATTGGGAGAAGGAAAGATGAATCATACTTGCAATAAATATGTATTCTTAAACATAGAACGTTAATTAAGGTAAAATACTGAAAATAACATCTGTCCTTTGGAGGAGGAAGCGGTGTTATAGCCCTACTAGAAGGAAGCAAGAAAGAAGTTGGTGTTACAGCTGTGATATAAAGATGTTTGCATTTGGCTGCCTTTATGCATGTAGTTCTGTGAAAACAGTGGGATTATTCATTTGTTTAATATTAATTATACTAAGGGCTTGACAGACTTTAGTCTTTGTCACTACAGGCTATGATCTCCCCACTTTGAAAACAGTGAAACCAGAGGATAGGTGCCAGGAGGTGTGGGTGGTTTCCTGTAAGGCATTTAGCAATTCATGTCCCCTTTCTGAGGTCAACTTCTATCTGGGTAAAAAAAAAAGTGCCTTGTGACTCTGGAGTGCAAAATATTCTTTCTGACACTGGGTTTCTTGTGTTTTGCATCTGAAAATCCAATTCAGTAGAAAAAATGCTAATGTTGTTTTCAAGTAAAGTAATGCTTGTCATTATTATGGTAATACCATTTTTGTATGCCTCTCAGAGGTAAATACTCTTTGTTAGATTAACTCTGTACAGAAGGACTCCAGGCAAAAGATCATGTTTCGTTCTTTTTTTCTTCTGTAATTTTAGCTGTCACCCTGTTTGACTAAAATATCACCTTGTGCCTTTAGATACATCTCTGACTTAGGACTAGTATCAATCAAATATCACAAACAATGTATTCACAGTATTGCTGAGCTTTATCAGGTCATTTTTTTTTCTTTTTTTTTTTTTTTTAATTCGTGACACTAGCAATTCAAGATAACATCCAGGTTTTTTTAATAACCACTGATCTGAAGAACCTTACTGATGATAGAGAGAGGTAAGATTCCCAAAGAAAGGAAAAAACTGAATGGACAAGTAAGATGCATTTTATTAGTAGTATAAGTTTCCTATTATCTAGTCCTTGCATTAATAAGCAATTCACCAGCACCACCGCTCCATTGATAAGAACATCCCTGCTTGTCATGGTGACAAATATCTCACCATGCAAGCCATTTCTTTTATTTTTTTAAACTTTTTTTGCAAGACATTTTGCTGTCACACTTGCTATATTTTGTGAATAAGACGGAACAAATCTGATTAAGAGCGCATAAACAATTCCAACATGTTTTTTTTTGTGAAGTCTACTTACTGTTCTCTTGGCTTCCATCACCATGTACAGAGCAAATTGATTACCAGAAGTGCTGTCTCCATTATATTTCTTCAGTGCTGTGTCAACAGCTTCGAAGACATCAGGGTTATCACAGTCCAAAAACTCAAATGGAAGAGGGGTGGCTCTGCTAGAAATAAAACTACAGCAGAGTGCTAGCACAATGAAAGGTTTCATAACTGGACAAAAAAAGGCCCCCTGAATGAGAAGGCTTGTTAAAAAGCAAATGGAAAAGGAATGCCTGACAAGGATTTAGTTACCTCTTCTATTTTTCAGGACCAATAGCAAAGTAAACAGAATGAGAAGTTGCTGGGGTTGGTTAGTTCTCATCGTGCCCTGTTTATACTGCAAATAAACTTCTGAGTTTCTCTAAACAAACTTTGTGTGGGCACCAGAATGACACCAAGGTTATCCACCTGCCATCAAGATAACAGCTAACTGGCTGCAGCTGGACACGGGTTTAGACTGAGCACAATGACCCCTGAGCAAAGGAGAAAGCAGTGTTTGTGGCTTTCTGGCCTTTATTTTAATACCAAAACTGCTACTTGCAAAGAGCTTTAGGGGGCTTACATAAAACACCCAAGAAGGTCGCAAAGGTAATGAAGTTCTAGTTCTAGACAACAGCACTGTAAATTTTATAGGTGTTCAATGCTCAGACTGAAATAGTTCTGAGAAGTCAGAACTTAACTGAAAAAAAAAGTCTTTGGACAGATGCACATCATTAAAGGTCACAAAACTCTTCAACAGCGGCTGATAACCCTCATCCTTCACCCTGCTTTTGGAAGTGACTGTCTTTGCCGTCATGTGGAGGCTACCACTGGACCATGGTTTAGTCAGTCTTCATAATGTTTTGTTATCATTACAGGTGGGAAAATGATGCCCAGGAACAAGGGCTTAAGGAATGTTGCCTGTATTGGGCAGAGCCGGAATTAGAGCTGGCTGGGAACGTCTGGCACTTGTTGGCAGTGAAGAGCCCAGATAGCTCTGCTTTGAATCTGTGCACGTTTCGGGAATGCCTCAGATCCTGCGTTCTACCTGGGTCTCACTAGAAGTTTGGGTTAAAGAAATTGTACTTCAGAGACCTTGCGGATGAGCTATGCCATAAATAAGGGTGTTTGTGGGTGTTTGCACATTATAATGTGTTTATAGAAAAATAGATGGCCTTTACTCAGTTACACAAAATGCTGTCCCCATTTTGTTTCTTTTTCTGCAATGTACCTCTCACTCTTTATCTTACTTCATGCTATTAACAAGCTATTTTGAAGAGCAAAATTTTTGGTTTGTTTGTTTTAATTAGCCCCATGTTCTTGCCTGTGATATAGCAGATCTGAACTAACTCTTCGGGGTCCCAGGAACGTCTGAATAGTCTTTATCTTGATGGGGGCTTCAGTATAAAGAGATGTCAGTACCCTTTCTTCCTGCTTCTCCCAACTCAGTTTCCAGTGGAAGTGTTCAATGATAAAGAAGACATTCACCCGAAAGAGTTACCTGCTTCTGCTTTTCCCCTCCCCTGAGAGCAATTATGAACTGTTTGAAAGGGCTGTCCTTGAATGCAGCATTTCTGATATCTCTACCAGCAACTGCAGTACCGAAAGCACCTGTGCAGGCCACTCTGCAGTGTTACAACACAAGTCATTAACTAGTCTCAACCCTTTCCTAGATAACCTGGTAACCCAGCTACAATTAGTCAATTTATGCTAGACTGTGCCTCACGGGTGCTGACTGTGCAGCTAAACAGCCCCAGTGACAAAAGAGACAATTGTCAAGAAAAAAAGCTTACATGATTTTATTTTCTTTAGATCTTCAGAAAGTGTGAATGAATGTAGTACCATGGATCTTTTTTATTTTTAATGGTAGGTGGTCAGATGTCCTCAGAGAAGTACATTATAATGAGGAATTATGAGGAAATGAAGATAGGTAGCTTTCAGTGTTAGTGAATTTTCTTTGACAGAACTAAAGGAGCATCATTCGCAGGTGAGATTGGAACCCAAGCACATTCTATTGAACCTTTCAGTTACAGGGGAGTCTGAGATATCTGGGATCAAGAAGCAGGTTGGAATGCTTGGATTAATCATTATTTTCAGCGTGTCTCCTCCTTGCATGTTGTATTCTTTTCCCCCTTCACCACATGCTATTTTCATTCATTGTACACCTGTCATTGGCCCTACAGCCCTCAAGTCAGGAACTTTCTCTGGGGTCACGGAGAAGAAGTTTGTGCTATGGAGCTATATGGAAACAAAGGCAAAAGTTGGGGAAGATCAAGTTTGGGTTTTCCTGGGCATGACTCTGATTGTGAACGGTCATCTGGAAAATCTATAATTGTTGGCATCTCCTCTAGATACGGGTCAGTGAAGGAAGTATCTTCATCGGTACTGGGGGATTGAGGGCCCAGGTGGGATAGCTCACGAAATTTTGCACTGGGAGCTGTGAGAGAATCCTGCATGCTTAGAACTGGAATGCGATAGATAGCTCCTGTTACCTGGAAGGGGAAGTATTTTCCTGGTGGGCCTGTCTTGTTGCAGTGATGTCGGTGGTGATGATGGGGATGAGGATGGTGTCCTGGAGGAGGACAGTGTGGTCCATGATGGTGAGGAGGATGTGGGTGATGTGGCCCATGATGATGGGGATGACCGTGTGGTCCACGGTGGTGAGGAGGATGTGGGTGATGTGATCCATCAGGAGGGGGAGGAGGAGAACCATGTGGTCCATGGTGGTGAGGAGGATGTGGGTGATGTGGCCCATGATGATGGGGATGACCGTGTGGTCCATGGTGGTGAGGAGGATGTGGGTGATGTGGTCCATGAGGAGGAGGACAGTGGGGTCCATGATGGGGAGGAAGACCATGGGAAGGACCATGTTGTTCATCATCGGGAGAAGGAGAAGGGGACTGCTCTGTTTCATCTTGGGGAAGAGAACTACGTTGTTCATCATAGGGAGAAGGGGTACGACCTAGTTCCTCTTGAGGAGGAGGTGGAGGACCGTGGTGTGGTGGGCGAGGGCGGTTATGTCGTCTACCATGGTAGGGAGGAGATTCTTCGTGGCTGTCTTCCTGTTCTCCGTAGAAACCATGGCTATGCTCAGCGTCTTCGGGTTTGGATTGAAAATGTGGTGGGCGTCTGTCCCTGTGGCGATGTCTGTGACCAAAATGATGGTGGGGATGTCTGTGTGGCCCACCCGGGCGTGAGTGTCCGCATCTGTGTCCATGGTGAAGCTGCTGTTTATAAAAACACCAGGGAGAGATGCATTAAGTGAGATGTTAAGAGAAGAAAGTGGTGACAGAGAGGTGGGAGTTAATAGGTTTACATTTACAGTTCCAGTGATTTGTAAGGAAAAGAAAAGCTGCATTTTTTTCAGGATATACGAGAAGGAGTAGATGATAAAATGCTGAATTACTGGAAAGCATCTGGAAATACTATACCATAACAAAATGGAATGATCTAACCAACTGAGCAAAATCTGTAGCGGATCAAAGCAAAATAAAAACCACACTGGATTAGCTGTTGTAATATACACTGCAATACCAACTATAGAATCACAGAATCATTTAGCTTGGACAAGACCTCTAAGATCGAGTCCAACTGTTAACCCAGCACTGCCAAGCCCACCGCTGAAGCATGTCCCTGAGCACCACAGCTACACGTCCTTTGAATACCTGCAGGGATGGTGACTCAACCTCTTCCCTGGGCAGCCTGTTCCAAAGCCTCACAACCCTTTCAGTGAAGGAATTTTTCCTAATATCCAACCTAAACCTCCCCTGCCACAACCTGAGGCCGTTTCCTCGTCTTATCACCTGGTGCGTGGGAGAAGAGACCGAACACAGAACACATATAATAAAGATCATTTCCCCTCCTCGTGCTTTCTAAAATTCCCTTTGAACTTGTAAATCTCTACTCACTTTAACTAAGGAGTATGATTAGAGCGAAGACACTTTCAGATGAAGCAGTGGGGACAGCTCGATGCTAATTAATCCTCTGATTGACCTAGTAGTCAAAAAGCCAGTCCGTCCTCGCATGCTGCATCACACCCGGGGAGTAATAACAGGGCATAAACAACCTTTGCAACCTTTCTTCTGTCAGGCTGGACTGAGGCTGCAATAGCCTGCATTAGGAAATAGCCAGAGACGTTTCAGTAATTCAGTACATACCCAGGGATGGTAGAGTTCACAGCTTATATCTGTTCCGTCGGGACCATCTGAATCACTGGCGATTCGTGCCTTGCAGAATCCCTTTTGCTGAGCAAAACAAAAGAAAAAACAATGCCCGTCTGGGTTCAGGTGATGGAGATAATAGAAGCCACTGAAAGGTCAATGTTTTAAAAGTTATGCTACTTCCTTTGATACCTAAGTATGTTTATATAACTTAGATCCTGAGCTTTCTGGCCAATGATACTTGATACAAATGAATAAAATATATTTAATTTTTGAGTGTTCTTGCCTGTGAAGACCACTTCCTCATATGCGTCTAGAGGGCTGCCCCACTCTCCAGCTTACTTCTCTTTTGATGTCTGTAAAAATTAGCCATTTACTAATATCTACACAGGCTGATTTTTGTTCTTTTCTGTCAAACATCTGTTCAGACTGGGCTACTCAGAAACTTTGCTCAAAGTCCTCAAAACCAGACACTGCATAGCTATGCTGTTTGAGATGAAGCTCAATGTAGAGCTTTTTTCTGTATTTATTTTTGAGAAGTAATTTGTTGTAATCTTTTAGCATTACTTCCCTTAGCATCCCATTTACAGTGACTGTCCAGTCATCATGCATAGAACTGCTCATGTGGAAAGAGCACAGAACTCAAGAAATGATAACAAACGTTGTCATTACAGAAATATCATGATCATTACTATCAATGATAGAAAACAATCTGTGTATGCGTTCTCTAGCAGCTGCTTTATCTTAGTACATGCTAGGGCCATTAGTAGCCTATTATGACCAGTGATTACAAATGGTAATAGCATTTTACACACACAACAGTGGTGTCAGCACTGAGAACAGAATTCAAAACCTCTGGCTATCTGGCTTGTGCTTCATTCTAGTGAGCTTTTAGTTCTGCCACCAATTTATTCACAATCCTTTCCAGTCTTCTGGAGTATAAGGAGCCAGAGAAGGAAATGGATCTACATAAAAACCCCGTCAGCTCTGCAGGTTTTATTTTTTCCGTATTTTTATTTCATTCCTTCCATTTCATTTCTGTGGAATAATTTATTTTGGTTTGTTGCTGCTGCCTAGTACTTTATTTGCTGCTGACTGTCATTGTAAAGGGAAGGTCGGGTGAAGAGAGTACTTTGATAATTATCTGTAGATAGGCCTGAATTATTCCACCCTATGTTCCCCTGCAGCAGAGGAGAAAAAAGTAATCCTGGGCTCACTGGGATGGCACAGTACATATATCTCATTCAAAATCTATCAGTCATGTTAGTATAAATGTTTTTATGAAGATAGCATGAATAATTTGCTAGGGGAATGGCCACAATTTGAAGGTGAAAGCCAGATCCAAAGAGAAGACCTGAGCTCTAGATCTGAAATATGCAACTCCAGTTACATTTGGATTTGAGATTGGCTCCTTAGAGAAGGAGTACCTGTGAAATTGGGATCTGCACTTTGATATGCTGGATTCTGAATTTTGAGTTTGGGTGCATGCTTACAGGAAATGTTTGGAATCACTTGTGATAAAATCTTCCTGGTGTTACCCCTTCCATCATTTTTCATTCAAAGACTTTACTCACAGCATGCCAGTTATCCAGAACGTCACAATCCAGTGCCTCCTGTGTCTGTTGCACATCTTTGGAACAGTTGGTCTCCCTTATAGAGAATCCTAAAGTGAGAACTTCATTGGAGTCAGTCTGAAACAGAAGTCAAAGAAAAAGTGTGACAGGTGGTTTTTCTTTTTTCTGTAATTTTAAAAGCAACTATACTCTATACTCATCAAAATCCTGTCTACATCATGCATTCATTACCTGTGCTGTTCAAAAGTTCATACACACATGCGTATTCAGTAAGGAAAATGAATTCGATTATTTATACCTCGCTTTCCTCACTCCTTTATAGGAGTTCCAGGAGATGGTTGCTTTGTTTCGTTGTCTGGCATGTGTGTATTATAAAATCTCTTACAGCCTGTGTTTTTAGGAAGTAGAGTCCTTAGAGTCTTCTCCCTAAATTGAACAGCTGCTCCAATGAAAATGGCAACCACCCCCTTCCAGTGATGGAAGTGCATAGTACTACAGTGCTGATGTTAATTTGGGATGAAATTCTTACAGTTTCTTTGAGGTTGTTGCTTTCTCTAATGTCAGCAGCATTATTCATAGAGGAGGCATTGCTCCATAAGAACAGAAGGCCTTTGTGATCCTGCTAGAATCCATAAAGAGATGCTTCCCTTTAAGTTTCAACTGCAGTAGTAGTTTATTTCAAGTCTGCATTGAAGATGTCCATAGCATGCGTGCACTCAAGTTTCACTGATTTAACTGAATTTTTACAAGTAGTTGCACATACTCTGTGGTATACTTTTTAATCAAACTTCATAGTTTCTAGGTGGTACACAGTCTACTGAAATCTAGTGGTACAATCGGGATTCTCACTGTAGCTAAAGACAGAGAAGTGTGAAGACAAATTAAAACAAAATGGTTTGGGAGAAATCCTGGAATCCAGGCAAATAGAAAACAGCCATGGGCTGAGTGTGAGGAGGGATACATCCTGCATGGGACAACAGTGCAGAACACTGTTAAGGTTCTGTGCAAAGTTTCTGCAGGGAGGTGGGATTGGCACACTGTAATTTGGGCAGGTTCTGGGAACAACATGTATTGTGGAAGGGGCCGTGGGACCTCATAACAGAGGTGTCCTGAACTGATACACTTGTACAGAACGATCCTGTGCTGTTTAAGTGAAGGTCTCCAGTATCTACCAGCAAGAAATAATGGTGGTGCAAGAGTTAGGCTTCTAAACAACCAAAAGGTAAGCCTTTGTGTCAACATCACTCAGAGATGGAGAAGTTACTTACCAGAGCCAGTAGTTCCCCAGGAGGTACAGCACAGAGACACATTTACCTCCAGTCCTTCAGAGCTCTCAGAGTGCTGCTGTGTTCTGCAGCAGCCAAAATTATTCTGAATGTGTTCCACTTAGTGTTGCACCCATGTGCTAAATATTCTAATAGTAAAAAGTTATCTGGCTTCATCTGCCAGGATGTATGGCTGTGGTAACACACATGACTGTACATCTTGATGAACTATGGTTCGTAGTAAATAAACTCTTGTATGTTAGAATTTGTTAGGTAAATAGGCATGCAAAATTAAAAATGAATAATAATTTAAAAAAATGCACCCAAAGAAGGCAGGCATTTGGAATGCCATCCCACTGCCATGGTTTTCAGCAGATGAGAAATCCTTTTCCTTTCATATGCCTAAATTAAGTTTATAAGACTTTGCAGAAGTAGGACCTTCAATTTTAAAGCAGATTACTTATGCTGAGAGGTTACATGCAGTATTTCTGATCCTAAAAGGATTTGAGTTCTGGGCCTATGTTTTTGGATCTGCTCCCAAAATGTCATTTGTAAGTAGTTCGAGGACAAAATGCCACTTACCGTCTTTAAAACCTTTTCAACTTTGAGGACACTGAAGTAGTTTGTGTGGTTGCTCTCGCTGTTGAATTTTTTCAGGGCCTTTGCAGCCGTATCTTTATGTTGCTCAGTGACTTCTAAGACTTCACCTTTTACAAGACAGTCTTTGCACTGTATTAAACTGGGAGGAACTGTAAAAACAGAGAAGTTAGTCATGTTGCAATAGATACTCTAGGGAGTAAAATCTGTGTATGTATCTTTGATGTGACCTCATAAGAAGAAGCTGAAATACCAAGTGTTTCTTTGGAGGTGAAATACCTATTTCTCATGCTACAAATACAGGTTTCTCCTGTCATGTGAAAAAAAAGACTACTGTGAAAAAGTATATTCTTATACACCTTCTAGCCTCGGCTTTAGAATTTAACCCTGAAATGGGCATTCTTTCCAAGTTCAATTTTTTCTGATGCTCATTATCAAGTTTTGGTGGGCTGGAGTGATGATACCATCTGACACCAATAAAGTCAGTTTAGAAGAGCTGGGTACTCTTAATTCTATTACTCATTCTTAACATACCATTGGAATTATCTAAAATCTGAATTGTAAGCAGATGAGATTGGTTTGAGGTGTGTGTTAGCTTCCAACAGTGGTTATTTTACCTGGACTTAGTGTACAATTAAATGCATGTAGTTGAGGTTTCTTCAACAGCTGGCTCGTATGCATGATAATCTTACATTGCCCGAAGTCCTGAGGGGGGAAAAAGAATATATGACCATAATGTTATTTGCATTGGATTTAATTGGATATAGTTGATTGTAGAAACGATGCCTCCTCCTAATGTTCAGCATTTCTAAGAATAACAGATGTGGCCGTTAATGGAATGTTTGATCTAGTACCATTCAAAGATTGTTTTGAGGTACAAGTCTCCAACAAAAGACTTTATTTTAATTTTCAGTTTGCCTGACTGAGCAGACCAGGGAAAACTAATAGAGCCTTCTCAGTCACTCTAAGACTTATTTACAGTGAGATAATAGTAGCTAGCAGGGGAACTTAGGATACTCAAAGGTTATATAAATCTTTATCAAAGAGTGGATGAACCTTTTCTCACATTCATTTTCTCTTAATAAAAAGAGTAAATGACTTCTTTTCTCTTCTCTCCTCATGGCCTTCCTGCTTTGTCCTGTGTGGTAGTATCAGCACTCTCCTATTTAAATAAAGTTTGCACAGGTAGCTCCCAGCCCAGACTGCATCATTGTACTGAAACAAATAAGGACAAGGACTGCTGTGTACCCTGTGCGTACTGACACTGCTCGTCTTTTACATTGTCATGGCACAAACACTACAACATACAACTGACTAGGTATAACACAGGCATTTCTGGCTTATAAACTAGGAATATGAGTTTAAAAAAAAATCATTTCTATTGCCCTTTAGTTGTTAGCAATTTATTCTCAAGTTCTGTTACCAGCAGTGGAAAAATGGAGTATAGCTCCTGTAAGACAACTAATTAAACACAGTTGTGCTTTATTTGATGAGTCACCCCTTTTCCAAACCTTTAGCTGATGTTTTACAACTCTAGAATCCAATAGATGTTACTTTATAGTGAGCCATATTAAAGCCTAGCCTTCACTTAGGGATGTAGTAGCACGTGAATTTCTGGGCAGTTCAGGTGAAGATCAAATTAATGCAATATTGACGTATGAATCTGCCTGGGTGCTGTTACTTGCCATGGAATAGACGTCACCGTATTCACAAGACTCCCAATGTCTTCCAGATATTACAGGGCATTCAGTTTCCAGCACATCCAAAGTTAAGAAAAAAATTGATGAATTTCTCTGGAAGAGAAGTACAGATAAAAAAATTCATATATATTATTTTAATTATATATTATATGTATACACACAAGAAGCTTGGTCTGAAAGAAACTTTTTAATAAGTAGGTAAATTTCATCTTTAATGTAGCTTCCCCAGTTCTGTATTGAACTTTTTCTGAGCTGAAAAGGGCAGAATCATAGAACGCTTTAGGCAGGAAGGGATCTTTGGAGGTCATCTTGTGCAGCCACTCATTCAAGGCAAAGCTAAGTTCAAAATTAGATGAAAGTTAGATCAACCTTGTCCAGCTGAGTTCGATATATCATCAAGACAGATGTTCTACAGCCTCTCTGGGCAGTTCCAGTACTTAACTGTTTGCTCTCTGATTTTTTTGTGTGGCCTTATATCAAGTCAGAATTTCCCTTCATGCAGCTTATGGCTGTTACCTCTTAACCTTCTGTAGAGAACCTATGAGAAGAGTCTGTTTCTAACCTGGTGTCCATCACGTGTGGAAAATGTTAACAGTGAAAAGTTTTCCTTCCCTTCTGATTTTTACATTGAGCACATTGGTCTCTTAGCAAACCTGTTGTCTAGACAGCCTGTTTGACAACTACATCCACTTCAAATGACCTTAGTGACCAGATGTCGCTTCAGAATTTTGTTTCCTGCCCTGTTTATTCAGGGAGCGATACAACAAAACTGAAATATCTCTGTAAAGTCAGGAACCTTAGCTCTGAAATTCTTCTAGTATGTTTTATTTCTGGAGCAAGTAGAATAGGGAATAATGATTTGACTGCCAGGGTAATGGAATGTGATATTAAGAATTAACTGTGGTCCACAGAAACAGTATGGTATTTGTCTGCGGGGAAAGGAATCTCAATTCACATTTGGAATGAATTATGTAAACTTCAAGCAACCCCGGTATGGACATTCAGAATGAAAACAGACATATTTCATTTTATCATTTAGATAAAATGATGCAAAGCCCTTCACTGTGAATAAGCGTCCTCAGGTTTTATGAAATTTCATCCATTCAGATTCCTCTTTCAGAGTGTTTCTGTATAAACAAGACCTTGGGAAAGAATTCCAGCAGTCTAGTGTAATATTTTTATTAGTAAGTATCCACCACTGTCATGTTAAGCATTAGTTTTGCAGTGTGCATATGGCTTAGCAATGTCTCTATTTTAAAATTAAAGGCTAGGTGATTTGCACAAAGACACATGTGGCAGAAGCAGGAAACCAGAACCGTAGCTCTCCTGGCACCTGTCCTGCCTGCTAGCCACATGGTTGTTCTCTCATAAGGGAGAATATTTTATTGTATAAATGAGCATCACTATTTTATTTTATAAATCCCAATAATTTGTGATTTCTCTATGCTGGAGAAGACTGTTTGCATCCTAGATGAGCTCTTCAATCATCAGGCTATTGCATGAAAATCAATTAGTATCACTCCCCATATCCTAGTCTTCGAAAAACAGAATGTTCTGATTTTTTTTTTTTTAAATGTACCTGAAAACTTGTAGCAATCTGGATCTTCAGTCTCTTTTTGAGCTTCTTCTCCTCTTAACAGGCAGTTAGTTTTAAACAGCTCCATCAAAACTAGCTTTTAACTAGCTTTTTTTTTTTTTTCGTTGCCGTAGTGAGGTGTGTAATACAGCTCATGAACATTGCAGACGTGTAGATTGTTGTTGACAACCCAAGCAGTTAAAAGGTAGCCAAGTGTACCAGTAAATTTGCGTTTCCTTGATCTCTTTTATCTAATAGCTAAAGAAATTGTGTGTTCTGTTGCTTTTTTGGCTATTGATTTGCTTTGGCATTTAGGCAGGCAATGATTGAGAAAAGCTCATGTATGCTCTCTAGGAAATAGCAATAGGAAAGAACCTATGAAGTGGGAAATGGATGACTGATGTAGGCTCTCTATCCAGCCCTTCCCCTTTTTGCAGAGTGGTATTTTCATCTCCTGTGTCTTCCTCAACTTTTCTCCATTCTCTGCAGTTACCCAGTAATCTCCAAAATTAAGATCAAAACAAAATACCTGTCATGAAGTATACATTGATCTAGTTCATGTTAAACATTCACAGATTGAAGAAACCCTCTGAGTATAAATTACGAACATAACATTTGAGACCTGACAACAGAGCAGACAGATTAATTTCCAGTATTATATAAAGCTGTTCAGAGCATCTCCTATGCTAACATCTGGTCAGCCAAGGAAATAGAGGGCAGTCAGCGTCCTTTGAAATCAAGCTTACACACAATAAATCATGCACAAATTAATACTGTGATAACATAAATCACAGCTGATTCATTGAATTACATCAGCATTGCTCTGTTAAAAACAATAATTATCAGCTTTTAATGATCTGTCTCATTATTTTAAAATCACCATCCTGTATAAATCAGCTTTTTAATTGATACTTACTGTACGTAGCTCGTGTGCATCAGCAACACGGAACAAACCAAAAACATAACCTTCTCTGCGATGTCTGTTGACCAAATCCAGGGCCACTCCTGCATCTGCTTCGGCGGTCTTGCAGTCTGTAGGTGTAAGGCGTGTTTTGGTTTGGGCATTATAGCACTGCAGTAGTGTTAGGAAAAAAAATGAAGTTAGATAGAGCATTTTGTTTGTGGTGTTAGGTCACCACTGCCCGTGCCCTGATAAAGCCAGTATTCTGCTTTACATCAGAGTGGTCTGCAGAAGTTGTAAATGAATGCTAAAAGGGCATGGTTTTATATAAATTTAAGTGTTGTGTCACAAGGCTATTACCTTGGCCCTGGATTAATGTTTACAAACAGTAAGTAAATGATTACATAGTGATTGAGCAGATTTTGAGAAAAGTAGTCCTTACAGTGCTTTCTGGACCATTCATCAAAGGGAGTATGTTTGTGATTCTTTAAGCAGGCATTGTGCAATTGTGTTTTACTATGAAGAATATTTAGCTTCTAACAACATGCTGATGAGCCTCTAAGTAGGATGGTCCAGTTTATGTGTGCAGGTATTATGCAATCTTGGTTTCTTGTTTACTATGAAAATAGCTGAAATACAAATACGCTGAGATATTTGTGGTCATATTATGGCTATATCCGTATCCTTGTTGTTGCAGGTCCTTAATGAGGAGAGAACCAGTGAAAGGGAAACAAGGTCACTCAGATTTGGAGAAGGGTTGTAGCCCAATGTGCCCTTGCAAGCAGGTGGTCTATAGCCTCTATGTAAGTACCTGCTACTCCTCCAGGTTGGGAAAATTTTGAGCAGACTTTCATCAGCTTTACAATCTTTTCAGAACAGCACACAGAATAGGATTGACTGGCTTAATACCAACACAATTGAGGCATGGCATGAAGTGATATAAATCTAACTTTGCACTCAGTCTAAGTAGTTTTATGTGCTCTTTGGCTGTAGTAGCTTTCAAAAGACTTACTTAGGGAATTGCTGATTTTTTAGTATTTATTAAAATGATTCAGTGCATAGTAATATTCATAGCTTTCGCAGGATATCTCAGTATTCTCTACAAAGCAGAAAGGAGAAGATATTGTCTTGTTTTATTCAAAATGTTTTATTTAGGATAGCTCAAGACTTTCTTAAATGGCAGTAATGACACTGTCAGGGAGTGGCTAAGGTTTCAGTACAAAATTCAACCTCTGAATAAGAAAATACAAAAAGTCAACGTAAGCCCAAAATGACAAAGTCAGATTCAGATCAATTTTCCAAATCCAGATTGGTGTGAGAGATTGGATCAGCTTCTTACAGAAAAAGGTGCTACCTGCATAATTGACTTGGGTTTACATGTTTGACTTTGAAGGGTTTTTTTTGGCTTATTTTTTGTGAAAAACACTAAGAAATATTGTGGGCAATCACTACTTAATCCTCATTACATTAATTCTTATTCAATGAAAGCCAACTGTTAGCATGTCTGTCATCTGAGAAATCACATTCAAAAATGCCCAGAGCCAAAGCAGTGGCATTCTTTTATAGTTAGTTCGGAATTCACTTACTAGTTCTCTGGTAGTATATAAGCCAAATGTGGTATCTTATAATATGATGGTGATGTGCACCTAACACTGGTGTGAATCAGTTTAAAACAGATAAAAATAGTATGTTTCTATGTAGTAGTAGTAAACTTCCGGAACTCTTTGCCACAGAACGATGTGGAGACAAACAATATCAGCAGGGTCAGAACTGGTTTAGGAAAGTTCATGGACACACTTCCCACACATGGACAGCAGGTCCATGCTCCAACAGCATGGACCAAAAAAGTTCCAAAAGTTCTTGGAAAGCTGGTACAAGTGGATACTAGGTCTAAGCAGAGAAGTACTCTTTAAAATCCCTAGTACAATGATTCTGGATACTAGAAAAGTAGAAGGGGAATGGATTGCAGAAGGGGGGCAGGCTTATATGCTTCTCCTAACCATAATCATTTTGCCACAGTGAGAGAAGAATACTGGGTTGGATCAACCACTCTTCTGATGCAGTAGGGTATTTTTTCTGTTTATGTCTTTATAATATTTCATTATAATAATTCAGAATTTCTTCTGGAGGGTTGAAAAAAAAAAGGTGAAATAAATGCTGTGTAAATAATCAAAGACGTGTAAAATACATCTCATCAGTTAAAAATAATATTCACATCATTACTGTGTTCCAAATCCCACCCCCATTCATTACTTACAATGCTGTTTAATTTTTCAAATGGGCAGTCATATTGAAGAAAGGCATCAAATTAGGTAATTTATAACATAATTCCCTGAGTCATCTATTGTTTAAAGATTGTTTGTTCTTTTTTTCCTCTTCTTGTTCTGTGCTGTTCACTGTGACACCAATCATTTTCTTGACAGGGGCTCATGTATTTTTTATGGATGAAATAGAAACACTATGAACAAACAGTAGAAAATGTACAATTCTTGCAAAATTAACTGCAGAAGTAAAAGTAAGATTATGTTCAAACTATGTAGTTTTGTCCTTGATTTCTTTGGGAAATAAATAGGATTAATTATAAGGTTATATAATAAAATACAATGGAATATGTATCGTATAATAATATGAATTGTATAATAAGATGATGTGATATATTATAATGTTATATATAATATTTATATAGTTATAATAAGGGTAATTATAAGAGATTGACCTATAAGGTAATAAAAAAAAAAACCACACTAGCTTTTAATGCTAAACAGTGTGGAAGTCCTATTCCCTGTTTATACACCGTTATGTAGAGTGCAACTGTGTAAGGGCCCTGAGAGCATCCCTATCCCACAGGTTTGGCTGCTGGGGATCAGGGTCAGCGCAGTGAGAGCACAGCCTGGGCTGTTCCAAAGAGGAACTAAGAACTCCAAAGATGAAGATTGTGATCAGCAATTTATTTATTTAAAGATGTTACATAAGTGGGAAGACCACGTAGCCACTTTGTGGCAGGTGGTTAAGGGGACTGGCTGCTGCCTAGACATTGGCAGGCTTTCTAGTCAGCAAAGGATGTAGGATGGAGTTTTTCTCCTTTGCTTCTCCTGGGCATGATTCTGAGAGAGAAAGTTCTTCAGGGAAGGGGAGAATAATTGGTGCAGTGACTGGTTTCGTCAAGTCTGGTTTGTCTTCTTGAGTCTTTTCTCCGTCAGGGGCTGGCAGACTGGATGTAGATCCTACAGCCGTAGGTGGAACTGGCTTTCTATTTTCATGTTCTTTTTGACTTTCAGGTAGGTTATAGGGAGAGATGTCCTCAGTTGAAGGAGGAAGAATTTTAACCCAGCCCACTGTTTTTTCTAGATGTAAGGAGAAAGGATTGGTTTCTGAAGGGGAAGCTAGTTGTTGATTCTGACTGGATTCTCCAGGTTGCTGGTTAGTTTGTTGGTTTTCTTCTTCAGTGACAGGATCCTGAAAAACAGGCAATAAACATCACTTATATTGAAGCTGTTACAATTTTTTTTTTTTTCAGATATGAAGGTCACCCTTCATACTAAGGATCTGCTGCATTTCCAGTCTTCAGAGACCAGCTGCAGAACAGAAGCTCCAAGGATAGACCGATGGAACTACCTCTTATGAATCCTGGGTAACTGCACAGTTATTACACTTTGTATTCCCTTTGCTATTTATTACGATTTCTTTGTTGAGCGTTCTAAACACAGTCTGTGTGATTGACTCTACACTTATTCTCTTACCTTTTTATCCACCTAGCAACAGTCTGCTTTATCACAAGAGAGATTTCTTCCTGATTTGGCCTTTTCACTTTCTCAAAGCCCATATCTTTGTGAATAAGAAAACTTAAAAATGGCTGGGCTTTCAAGAGTTCGATTCTTGTTTTCCAAAGGAGTGTTAGTCTTACAATATTAAGATTAGATTAAGAAATACCTGAGGACTGTAGATTTCACAAGATACTGTGACAGATTGTTTGTCTTCCAAGTCGCTTTTTACTACAGAGCCTTTGCAGAAACCCATTTTCTGGAAGAAGAAAATGCAAGTATTATTTTCACATTGTAGCACTGATATTGAGCTCTTATCTTGTAAAATAGATGATTAAGAAAGGCTGAGTAGTTATAGCTTCTACATGTATTTGAAGGGATAAGCAGCTTGGGCACTTTTATTTTGGGATTGGCAAGCTTACGAAGAAAGGCAGCATTTGAAAAAGGCTTTGTGTTTGCAAAGGAGGGCTAGGTAGCACAAGAGTAAAAATGAGCTGGCTACTTAAGATCCAACTACAACAGCATGCTTAAGTTGTGTGCTAGCAAAATATCCCCATTTAGGCAAGGTGTAATAGAACATAATGATATTTCTTAGGCAAAAACAATTTCAAATCATGCAAGTGGAAGAATCCATGACAAGACGTTTCTTCTAACAACTATATATTTGCTGGGCTGTAGATAACATGTCTGGGATCTCAGTTGAGATGGGACTTGAAATAGAATCTCTTGTCAGCATGTCCATTTAGTCTTTCAGTTTCTCTTATGTTTGTTTGTTTGTTTGTTTACTTATTTTCTGTAGTTCCTAAATGTTTTCCCTAGCTAACTCAATTGTAGTGTGGAGAGGCTCTTTATACATTGCTTGCGATTCTTTGTCTGTATCAGTTTATTTGGAAGAAAGCTTTAAGAATGTTTCTTTTGTAAAGCTACCCACTTTTCTGGACAGTGTTTTTTGTTTGGTTGTTGTTTTGTTTTTTTTTTTTCTTTGTTCATGGACTTCTAGGTAAGAATTTGGAGCTTTTACTGAAATGTTTTTTCTATTCTAAAGTAATTTGTATACATGCAAGCTGAAGCTACAACCCATAGAAAGACCTGTGGGGTGTGATTCTTGTCAGCAGAGAACCAAAGCAACAGGGCAAGTATTTGCCAAGGAACCATATTATCTGAAAAACAGTTGTGTATACTTACAGCTAATTCAGATGGAAGAGGCTTGCACTTGGAGATGTCAGCAATTGAGTCACTTTTGGAGCAGGATGTCTCCTGAATTACAAACTCTACAAAATATGCTGGACCGATGACCCACTGTTAATAAGAAACCAGTTTGAATTAGCCCTTGTGCATCTGTCAAGAAGGAGAAAACATCCTACAGCCCTTGAAATGGATGTAAAACTCCTGCTAAGTGTGGAAGGAGCAGGTTATATTTGGGGTATTGCTGTTAGCTGTATTACAGGAGAATGATTTTTGCCAGTGCTACTTTATTGCCTGATTATTTTTTACTTCTTACATATGCCCAATCCTAATGACTCACTTTAGCTATAGTTCAAACAAGTTTGGTTTTCATAAGAAGTATGCACCCACATAGAACTATATATCCAGGGACTCGGTTCAGTATCTTGTTGATCATTTCAGGCTGCTTTAATGAAGAAGATCGCTTTTTCCACACCTGAAATATAGGTACCCCTGGGTTTGAAAATGGGAGCAATGAAATACTGCACTTTAATACTACCTAACCGTTTGAGACAGAGTGAAATCCACCTTGCTATCTATACATAATGAGTTTTAGAGAGACTGGATATTACTGTAGTAAACAGTATTTAGCCAGGTGATCACTAATTCTCTGTTAGCCTAAAATTAATTTTCAACCATGCTTTAACTCATTTAGTGTATCACAGGTATGTGTTAGAAGGAGTGACTGTGCTTTATTAAGTACTTTCTAATTGGGAGTCATTAATTCAGTGGAAAAAAGAGCTCACAGTGAAGCTTTGCTAAACTTTGGAACATAAATCTGTATCTTCAGCTTTGTGAAAAAGCTGTTCTTTTTGCGACAGATGGAGTCAGAGTCTTAGATTAATGCAGATTTCCCAGAATTCTCCATGGGAGTAATCTCTGTACTAAACATATACAACTTCTACACAGTCTGTGAAACATAACAAATCATAGGAAGTATAAGAGGTTTCATACTTCCTGAAGGCTAAAGCAGGTCATATGAGCTTTGGCTTACCTGCATTGAAGCTCTTGTGACATTGAGGACAGAGAAATAATGAGTTTGTTCACTCTCTTCATTGAACTTGCCAAGGCTTTGAACAGCAGCCTCCAAATATTTGGGCTCAGTTGGACAGTCATCAACTGGGCAGTCAGGACATACTGCCCAAATATATCTGGGTGGAACTTTTTATTCAAACAAAACAATGTCATTAAGGAGAAGAACCATAGAGCATGTTGACAGTGTAGGTCACTCCAAACACATCTGTGCCCCCAACCCAGCCCGCTTACCCTCCTGTCTCCTGGAGTAACACTATGCGGTTGGATTCATTTAACACTTTTGAATCTTTATTAACGTGCAGACCCATAAAAATGTTGTGATGCAGGCAGAGACACTGCATAAAAAAGTTGAGCCTACTGACAGTAAGAACAGGCTTGCTGTTCTAGCCTGCCCTTCGCAAACCCATAAAAATGCTTTCTGGACCAGAGGGTAAAAGCCCACATAGAAGCTCTCTGCAGGGTTTCCCAGCGCTGAAAACAGTTATTCTCTGCACTGCTTTGTGCTGCAGGACTGCACTGGTCTTATGATCACTGACCTGAGAAAATTAGGTCGGTTGAAAGCTAATGGAAATGCTGTGCTGCCATAATCACAATTAAAATTTAAACTATTGCTATATGGCAAACTATTTTTCTAGTCCTTTTTTAAAGTGATCGTATTAAATAAAGATGTACCTGGCTGTAGAACGCACTCATAAGTATTCAGATGAGCAATGTTTCTTGACTGATTAATGTAGATAATTGCTTTACATTGACCATAAACCTAAAGCAATATAAACACGTAGAAACAATAAATATTGCAGCCCTTGCAATGATCATCTAGTACCCAGACAGCAAGCGGTTAGTTTTCTTCTTACAGTCATGAAATTATTTTCAAAAAGAAAGTTGTGTTATTACTCAAATGGCAATGGAGCACATTTCTCTTCTGAATAACCCCATTAGAAATAAAAGCCCAGGTCTTCCCCTGGTGTCAGCATAATTCTGAGTAATCCTGGTGCAGTGCTTGACTGCAGGAGGGCTATGCAGAGCCGCTCTTCTGGCAGCTGAGAGCTGCCCAAGTGCCACAGAGTGCTTTTCTAGGCAGCCCCCCACACCAGTAGCTGGGTCAACATACTGAACCCAGACAACCTAAAGCTGGAGACCAGTCCAGAGTGTCTGGAACCAGTCACCTGTCTTCCAGCTTTCCCCTTTTCCCTGTGAAGCAAGAAAGAGTGAAGCTAAACCAGCTTGTGGCACAGTAATGCCACCCTTGCAGACCAAATAACTCTGATTTTATGACAAAAAAAAAGGATGGCCTATTAATATCCATTGTGTCTTTGTGTTTGAAAACGTGTGTCCTCCAAGTGCTTCTTAAATATTGCCATATGTATAATCAAGGCCTCTCAGACATATATTTCTAGGCTTCATAGAAGCCATTTTGACCATATGTTCTTTGCGCCCTTTGCTGCTGAAAGTGCTGTAAGTGGAAGTGAGCTGAATTATTTTGTTCTTCCATTTTATTTATTTTTTTTATAGTTTAAAAATGGTAACTGACTTTAGAAGCAGTCTAGGACAATTTAATTACAGCAACTTTTTTTTTCTTTTTTTTTTTTCTTTTCTTTTTCCATATGCAAGGCATCTTCTAGTCAACCTCCATTCTTTAAGTTTATTTTTCACTTGTTCAGGATCATTTTGGTCACTGGTAGCAACAGTCTTATATCAGTTTCTTTCTTCGCAACTCATTTTGCTGGACTTTCTTTTTAGTACAATTTTTGCAAAGTTATTGGAATAAAAGTAGAATTAAAGTACATAAAAATCACATTATATGAAGGTGAGTTTCTTTTATTTATTTCTTGACAGTCTGTTGTTAAAACAAAATATTAACAGGTTTGCTGTAAAAAGTAAACCATAGTGTCCTATCATAGCTATTTAGATATATCTGCTTATTAGTTCTGGTCAAAAAGTAACTTGCAATTCTCATTTTATAGAATATATGTTACTATTCTAAAAATAGGTTAGATAGTACAAAGGAAAACTCTGAACCTTAAAAATGGGTTTTCTAACTAAGCTCTGCTGCCTACTAAAAGTGCTTGTGCAGGGATTTTCTTGTCATCAGTACTACCTGAGTAATTCTCATACCTGAGATTAAATATGAAATAAAATTCTTACAGTTTTATGAGCAGGTCTGGCTGTGCAGTCCTTCCACAATTTTTTGCTGAGTACATGGCATTCGGTATCTACTACATCCAAAATGAGGTAGAAGACAGAACCAGTGATCTCCTGAGCACAAAAAAAGAAAGGGTCATATCCCAGTTTTGTACAGAATGAGGTAAGAAGGAATCAAAGGGAGAGTTGGAAAAACACAAAACACACAGGTTAGGCACACAAAATCTTGAGAACTGAACAATGTGTGGGACAAATTCTCAATGGAGGCAAATCAGGAGTGTCAGGTCCTGTGAGAATGGGCTTGGTCACACCTGAAAGAACAAACAGTCTTTTAGAGTCAGTTTATCCCTCTGATTCTCAGACCAACCAGAACCCAAGAACAAGAACTAAACGTGGTGATGTTTTCATTGTCAACTGCATTTTCATTATTAGATTTGAAAGGTGGGTTAGTTTACCTGCATTAAGAATA